CCCCTTCCAGAGCTGAGATATCGAAACTCAAAAATTCGGCCAAAAAAAAAAACGACAGTGGTACCCCTTACGTTTTTTTTTTGGGCGAAAAATTAAGTTTCTCCAATCTTCCAAAACTCTGGATTCTGATAGAGGGCCATGAGACTTAGACCTGAGTGCAAAAATGGAGGCTCTAGCCCCTTCCAGAGCTGAGATATCGAAACTCAAAAATTGGGCCGAAAAAAAAAACGACAGTGGTACCCCTTACGTTTTTTTTTTTTGGGCGAAAAATTAAGTTTCTCCAATCTTCCCAAACTCTGGATTCTGATAGAGGGCCATGAGACTTAGACCTGAGTGCAAAAATGGAGGCTCTAGCCCCTTCCAGAGCTGAGATATCGAAACTCAAAAATTGGCCCGAAAAAAAAAAAACGACAGTGGTACCCCTTACGTTTTTTTTTTGGGCGAAAAATTAAGTTTCTCCAATCTTCCCAAAACTCTGGATTCTGATAGAGGGCCATGAGACTTAGACCTGAGTGCAAAAATGGAGGCTCTAGCCCCTTCCAGAGCTGAGATATCGAAACTCAAAAATTCGGCCCGAAAAAAAAACGACAGTGGTAACCCTTACGTTTTTTTTTTGGGCGAAAAATTAAGTTTCTCCAATCTTCCCAAAACTCTGGATTCTGATAGAGGGCCATGAGACTTAGACCTGAGTGCAAAAATGGAGGCTCTAGCCCTTCCAGAGCTGAGATATCGAAACTCAAAAATTCGGCCCGAAAAAAAACGACAGTGGTACCCCTTACGTTTTTTTTTTTGGGCGAAAAATTAAGTTTCTCCAATCTTCCCAAAACTCTGGATTCTGATAGAGGGCCATGAGACTTAGACCTGAGTGCAAAAATGGAGGCTCTAGCCCCTTCCAGAGCTGAGATATCGAAACTCAAAAATTCGGCCCGAAAAAAAAAACGACAGTGGTACCCCTTACGTTTTTTTTTTGGGCGAAAATTAAGTTTCTCCAATCTTCCCAAAACTCTGGATTCTGATAGAGGCCATGAGACTTAGACCTGAGTGCAAAAATGGAGGCTCTAGCCCCTTCCAGAGCTGAGATATCGAAACTCAAAAATTCGGCCCGAAAAAAAACGACAGTGGTACCCCTTACGTTTTTTTTTTTGGGCGAAAAATTAAGTTTCTCCAATCTTCCCAAAACTCTGGATTCTGATAGAGGGCCATGAGACTTAGACCTGAGTGCAAAATGGAGGCTCTAGCCCCTTCCAGAGCTGAGATATCGAAACTCAAAAATTGGGCCCGAAAAAAAAACGACAGTGGTACCCCTTTACGTTTTTTTTTTAGGCGAAAAATTAAGTTTCTCCAATCTTCCCAAAACTCTGGATTCTGATAGAGGCCATGAGACTTAGACCTGAGTGTGCAAAAATGGAGGCTCTAGCCCTTCCAGAGCTGAGATCA